ACCATTAGTATGTGTTTACATGTTTAAAGATGGTAGTAGTTTTTATTTTATTTTTTTATTACAAACTTTATTACCATCAAGTAAAAATATGAGTAATTTCTCTGTATAATAAAAATAGTAATAATATTAAATGATTTAATACTATAATAAATTATAACTATAATAAAAACTATAATAAATTATAATAATTAACTATACAATTAAATAAACTATTTCTTCTAACGTGTAACTGAAAAAAAATTTATGAATATATAAATCTAGTATTCAAAAATAAATTTGGTTAAAAATATTTCATAATTATTATACAAGCAAATTAATTAATAACTAGATTAATATTATTTTCTATACCCTGTTTATAATAAATTGTTTCATTTGTTTCTTAAGATTATACATTGTGATACGTTTATTGTCTGATAGTAAAGMTAATTCCGTAAAATCAGTACTATATTCTCTGATATTCGGATTTTGATAAATCTACAGGCTTTTTTTTCGTAACAAAAGACGTTGGCAGCGCTGGCGCCGCACGAATGGATCTTCGCAGGAAAAAATATTTTGTGTCCGTATATAATATTGCCTACAWTTAGCCCCTTTTTTGCAGCTATCAAAATGTGATAACATCATTTTCATTATAAATTATATTACAATATTTTATTATAATATTAGATTTAATGATTTTATATATTACTAAATTAAAATTAAAATAGTTAAATACATTTAATAATACACAATTCGTTGCGAATACTTCAAGCGAAAATACAAATGTTATAATTAGGCTATATTTTGTATATTTTTTTTTTAAATGCAAAATCATCTTGTCCAGTATTTCAAATACAAAATTGGATTATAAATACATTTTAYTAACTATTTGGCCCATAATTGAACACTCATAGTATAAGCGTTTAAATGTTGTTCCTTCCACAGAATCTTGAACAGTTGAACATCATTTAATACTCTTTGAATAGGAACCCAGCGGCGTATTTAAGGGAGGGGCACATGGGGCCCGTGCCTCGCTCATTCGCCGTATTTTATACTTATTTTTATTATATGAGAAATTTTAAAACTCTACACCCCATGTACGCAAATTTGAACTTTTTGTTTGTGCCCCCCCCCCTTAAGACATTTCTAAATACGCCCCTGTAGGAACCAGTATAGATGGTACTATAGAATTATATGAAATAAAATAATATAGCTACCTGCCAATTTTTCTCTATCAGCTAAAAAATATTTTAAAACATTGCAATAAAATTAGTGAATCACATACAAACGAATCAAAACCTATGCAAACTGAGGATATGAATACAATTAACATAAAAAACAAAAAAAAAACAAAACAAAATTGAAAAACAAACACGTTTCTTCACTAAAAATAATATAAACGATGTTTTAAATGTTCATTCATATGACGATCATTCTTATAGCGTTAAAACAAAATTAATTTCTTACTTGTTGAATGGTACCTTTTAAATGGTATAAGTGAATATTGTGTTTTTTTCGAATTGTGTATTATTAAATTTATTTAACTATCTGAAATTGAATTTAGCAATATATAAAACCATCAAATCTTATTGTAATAAAATATAACATTATAATTTATAATGAAAATGATGTTATCACATTTTGATAGCTGCAAAAAAGGGGCTAAATGTCAAGGTTTATAGATTATAGAGGTTGCGTCATATCGAAAATCTGAAAAAACGGGAGTGGGAGAAATCGGACCGTGACGTCACCCGTAGGAGACTTTTCAATTGTTTACATAGTTTACACGTGAGTTTTTGCGAGTTCTACTACTAGCATGGCTAAATAACTAGGTATGATCATAGTTCCGTGATACGCATGTCGAAGACGTCAGCCGGAAGGAATTCTTATCAATACCCGCGTATTTTTTAATTTGTCTTGTGAGTTGTGATTCACAATCTAAAATGAAAACATCTTGTAACATAATATTCTAAATTTCTAACATCACAAGTTGAGAGATCAAGTTTTTGTATCTTATAAAAGCGACACTAAAATTTATATATTATAATAAATACTACCTACTAAAGACTATATTATGTATTTAAAAGTTTAATATATAAACTATAAACAATAAATAATTAACAATATGTATTATTTACTAGACTTTGCATTCACATTTGATTTGCCACATGCTAAAATCCATTTATTCTCAAAAACCGGATTTTTTGGGAATCTATGAAACCGTACATTAGAATCTTTGTGGTTCTTTTTTAAATTTATTTCAYAGTATTTTACTGAACACCAAGACATATTAATAAATTATTAATACTACAAGGACTGCAAGGTTCAAATATACAACAATAGGTACAAGACCAAGAAAGCAAGAACAATAATGACTTACAAATTGTTACTTTGTTTATTGATATGAATAATAAATATTGCTAATTAGTAAATATTATATAAATTACATATACATATATATAAAATTAGATACATAATAATACAATATGAGCAACCTATTAAGCTAATATTAAGTCAAGGAACACACTGTCGATATTATGATGTGAATATGTCATATGCATAGGCGCAAATAGGGGGGGCTTTGGGGGCTAAGCCCTCCCAAAAATTTCCATAGCCCCCCAAACATTTCCTACATTTAGTTTTTAGCTTGTTCAATATTATCAAATTAAGGCTTTCCCCCAAAATCCCAAACGTTATTTGCGCCTGTGGTCCTGTGACACCTGTTTTAAACGGAGACCGAACCCGCCAAAACGGCTGGCAGTGCCCTAAAAGTTAGGTTAGGTTAGGTTAGGTTACCTGCCGGTTGACGTCATAATTCAATGGAAAGAATGATAAATTAGCTGTTTCTTCCATGAATGCGCTCATTGAACCAAATTTGGTAATTATGTGATCATACCTAGTTATTTAGTCATGACTACTAGTTTGTCTACGTTAATCGTTTTTTCGTTCATTTTTGCATATAATAATTACATTTATCAATTGTAGAGCATGTCTACAAACAGTACAAATCACAAAAAACATTCGGGTGGTTCATCTTGTGCCGTAGCGACGTGCAAGAATTACGCTAGCAAGATTAAAGAGCAAGGACTCGATATTTCATTTCACAGGTACCTAATTTTACCGTAATTTTTTCCAATAGGGTATTATTTTATTAATTATGTATGCTGAAAAATATGTAGGTAGCTTATTTTGATGACAACAAAGCTTTTCATATTTTATAGCTAAGAGTAGTTAAAAGACTTACAGACAAGATTTTCAACAGAACTGAAATGCCACAAAAATATAAACCTGTAATTCAGTCTTATGTCAAACAAAGGTTGTTGATCCGAATGAAATATTTTAACYTGCATGCAGCATCATTAGCAAAAAAACGAAAAGCAAAAGCTCAACTAAATAAAATAAGTAAAT